CAGGGAATATCGGGATATAGGGTAACATAAGTATGTATTGGGGTTATATAGAGGTAATGGAAAAGAAAATGGAAACTACTGTGATGTGATAGGGTATATATTGGGGTTATATAGGGGTAATGGAAAAGAAAATGGAGACTACTATGATGTGATAGGGTATATATCGGTGTTATATAGGGGTACTGGAAAAGAAAATGGAAACTACTATGATATAATGGGGTATATATGAGGGTAATGGAAAAGAAAATGGAAAGGTCGAGGTATAGGGTTTAGGGTTTGAGAGGTTGTATGCTTTGCCTCTTTCCTTCCTGCAGCCTCACCTGTCTCCTAGCGTTGACAGGTTATCATGGGGTAACAAAGCCAACGTAAGTAAGGCCAGCGCTGGGTAGCCATCAACCCATGATGCCGATTACCATTCAAGCTTCACCAAGGAACCCGTGATCATATGAGCTATAGTCTGACTCCTAGTATCCTCCTACAATCCTCCCCTATAAAATACCCTATATAAACCCGTTTAAGGGGTGTAGACTATAGCTCGTGAAGCCATGTAAATATCCCGTAACATCAGCATAGCACGAAAACAACAGAAGGAGCATCCCTCACTGCATGGACCTTATGGACGGACCATAGGGTTCAGGGTTTAGGGTTTAGGGTTCTTTTTGCATGTGAGCTAAAGTCTAAACTCCTAGCACCCCCCTAAGTAACCATTAGTAACAAATCCGCTATAAATCCCCCATATAACCCCCTTTACGGAGTTTAGACTATATTACAATATAAACCCAATATACCATAGTAGTTTCCATTTTATTTTCCATTATCCCAGTATAACGCCTAAACCCTAAACCCTAAACATCCCTAAAACCTAAACCCTAAACATCCCTAAACCCTAAACCCTTAACCTTTAAGACCTATACCCTACAGTAAGCCTGTCTGAAGCCTAGGCCGGCACCTGTCAACTTAAAAGGCTGGCAAACGTCCACACCTTGCAGGATTGGGTTAATGTAATAGGGTACATGTATATATATATATGTATAGAGGGGATTATATAGGGATAATGGAAAATAAAATGGAAACTACTATAATGGGGTTTTACAAGGTTTAGGGTTGAGGGTTCAGGGATCAGGGTTCAGGGTCTAGGGCTTAAGGTATTTTAGCTTAAGTTTAGGGTTCAGGGTTTTTGGCTTCGGGTTTTGGGCTTCCGGTTTTGGGCTTAGGGTTTAGGGCCTGGGGTTTAGGGCTTAGGGTTTAGGGTTTAGGTTGCTTTTCCGTTTTGCTACCGCTGTGGCGCAGAAATGTCCCTAAGGGTCCGAGTACCCAATAATCGTACACTTACCCCGAAACCTGTACTACAATTACTATTAGGTAACAATTCCCAAAGTATTTCATTATTGGGCACTTGGACCCTTACGGGCCCTAATCCCTTCAAAGGGACCTAGGTGTTGGGTGCCTGGACCCTTAGGGTGAGGTAGAATGTTAGAAGGTAATCTGGATTCGAGGAGCGGCTGGAACCGGACTGAGCACAGGTAGCAATTCAGCCCCCATCCTCCTGCAGACCTGTCGCACATGAGCTATAGTCAAAACTCCTAGTCTCCCCCTTCATAACCCGTATAGTAGTCCCCTAGATAACCCTGTAGGTAATCCCCTTTAAGGAGTTTAGACTAAAGCTCACATGCTGTTGGCATGCGTACTTTCTGCACTCCGAGCATATGAAGAATGCCCTCGAACAGGGTGGATCATCTGATATTTTCCAAGTTCGCAATCGTTTTCAAGATCAGTCAACATCGAAGCATCGTTTTGGTAGTTTGGTACTCAGCAAATCAACTTCAATCCGGCTGGTCCAAATACTCATAACTACCCGCTTGGCGCAATCCGTCTGAGCTGGCGGACGGTTGTAAATTTGAGGCCAGCGAGAGTACATGTCCTGACTCAGATTGCATTCCAGTTCACTCTGAGTCCCTTTGTTTTCGGGGCAGGGCCCTACAACAAGGACCCATGGCTTTGCGTGGTTAAAGCTGAGAAATACCCATGCTTGCGAGCAGCAAGGGACAGAGGAATCACTTCAACTGGGGTCCTGCTCTCCATTGACTCGGAAGATGCCCGTGCCCCTGACAAGAACCTGAGCAGGGAGTGTTGTAAAGGTTACTGCAAGGGATAAGGCATCATGCAGCATCCTCTGAGGAGAGAAGGGAGAGTTCTGATCCCCATCTAGTGTCTAGAAAAATCAGCAGCTGCTGTGCGCCGATAAAGGAAACGCTAAAGTCCATGCAGCTTCCATGCTACCAAGCAAGTGGTCCAAACTTAGAACAGCACCACGTGAGCGGATGCGCGCTTTCGTGTGCCTTTGCCTTGCACAGGGATACAAATTTGATCTTCTGAAAAAGGCTGCATGATAGATGATGGCGTCCATTATGAGAATCCCCAAGAGAACTACCCATGGCTTGCGCGCATCACCGTGGTGGATGCATTTTCCAGCGCAAGCACCAAAAAAAGGCCCAGCATTCTAGAGTTCCTTCACAAGCTAGAAGAATTGGAGAGGCATTAGCGACAAGCAAGGATTTGGAAACTCTGGCTGGGCCGATATGACTAAAATCCTGAGGATGCTCTGCTTTCACAACATGGGTGGTTGTCAAAATTATGGTCCCTTTTTGGATCCCTATTAGAATACGGCACCTAGTATTTAGGGTACCCAAAAAGGGACGATAATTTTGACAACCACCCACGTGCCAACCCAGCGCCCGCCTTCCACGTAAGAGAGCCACTCCTTGCTCAGAAGATTCTGGGAGAAAACTTGACAAAGCAAAAAATCGCCATCACATCAGACCCGTCATCAAACACCACGACTCAACCTTCTTCACCAATTCCTAGTCTTGGATTTGTTATGCTCTGTTTTTAAGGGGGGTCTTTCATCGGACGTTGATGGTGGGAGATGCTCATCATACACTGCCTAGCTTGGCATGAAATGCTTCTGGGATTCAGCGAGCTTGCTTGCAAGCTTGCCTCCATCTGAAAGGAACTCCATAAAAATACCGGTGAGGGTCAAAGCGCAACTTACATCCCGTGCACTGCCAGCTGGTGGCTCATGTGGACTCCGGGCAACCTGAGGTCATGCTGCCGCTCGCTGAACTTTGCTTCTGGCTCACTCTAGAGAGCTCCCACCGCCCAGTTTGGATAGCGGGCCCCACTTGTGATCAGGATGCATGTCAGGCCAGAAACTCCAGCATGTCCGTTTCAGTGGGAGGTTTGGGACCCTTCATGCTCACATCAGCCCCAGTCTAAACCCCCCTGAGTAATCTCTACACTACTGCTCTATAAAATTCCCTATATACCCCCCCTTTAAGGAGTTTACACCATAGCTCACATCATGACCCTGAAGAAACAAGGCAACTCTTGTGCGGCGGCTCCTTGCCACCGTGCCAGAACTTCGGAGGCAGGTCAGGCTTGAAGTACCTGCCAGCTTACCCTTGGACCATGTAGGGATTATGTGGGGATCATGGAATTACATAGGCAGTAAGGTTTAGGGGTTTAGGCTTGGTTGTATATGAGTATATAGGGACTATATACGGGGATGATATATGGGGATTCTTTAGGAATTTCAGGTTTAGGATTAGGGGAATCCCAAACCTCTTCCTCAAGGAAAAGTCTTCAAGAAAACTGTAGAGCCGAGAACCCTGCTATAACTTGAAGCAGAAGTATGGGTAAAGGGTTTGGGGCTGTGTGGGGTATTGATCGGAGCAATTATGGTGTGCCTTCTTCTACACATCCACCAAAGGTTTTCCGGAATGACTGACAACCTTCTCCATCTGGTGGCAGGGTACCATCCGAAGGTCCAAAACCCCCGCACTAACAGGAAGTAAAGGGACTCCCGGGGTTTTGAAACCCCGCCACAAAACCTTCTCAACAAGGGTGCTCCTCTACAAGGAGCTTCGCCTGCAGAGGAATGGGTATATGGTAGTTTCCCTAAATTACTGTTCCCAAAATGGGGGAAATCTATATAGGGCCCCGTATTATAATGGGAACTCAAATATAGGACCCCGTATTATAGGGAATTTAGACCAATACCCATATGGTAACTTAGTTTAAGTTCCTTAACAGCAGCTGAGAAGATCTGCAAGCGGCAGGTCACTTCTCAATGGTCCCATGGATGGTCGGGCTGGTGTTTGCCCTGGGCATTGCAAACGGGCGCTCTGCAGGAAGCATTGCAACCCAAAACCCCAACCGGCAGCTGGGACAGCTGGGACTATTCTGCTGCTTTGCACAGATAGTTTCCTCAGGATTTGTGGTTCTTGGCATCTCCGAGCGCATGCCCACAAGCTTGCAATTGGTACTGTATGCTGTAGAACGTGCAAGCCCAGCAAGAACAATAACATACAAGTCCTCCTACTTGGATGTTCATTGGGACCCCGTGGCAACTCATAATTGAGATTACAGTCCTATTTGCTAAAACCTGTAAAGGGCAGCTAAAGTAGCTCTGCGGCTGGGTCGTCGGCCATTCCCGCTGCTCTTCGGATGTCAGTCTGCTGTCCGTTTCCTTTCACCGCCAGGTAACGATAACATGTACCAAAGCGTGGTTAGTTTGGAAGAGCTATGCAGCTACCAGAATCTTAGTACAAGTTCGATGATGACGTGAGATTGTCTGCATTCCATTTAGCCTGGCAAATGCTGACTCAATCTAATTACCATGAATCTCTGGCCTTTTGTTGGTCATCATCCAGAATGTCTGCAACCTGCACAGATTTGTGCGCGTAGTTTGAAAACAGGGAAGGGCAGCCCATCAATTTAGCAGAGATAGTAGGTGGCCAAACGTTTGCATCATCAACTGGGCGCTAAAAATGGTCTCCACACTTGCTGCTCTCTGCAACTCAAGCAACTGCAAGCCATGCCTGGTGGGTTCCAGTGAGTGCAAGCCATTTTGCACACGCCGACATGCTCTGCCCGCAACTTAAGAGATTGGATGGTGAGACTCCATGGATAAAGCTTTCGGAGAATTGCGAAGAATTCGCTCACCATGTAGGATCGGGAATCTTGATGATGCCAGCGAAGCTCAAGCCAATCAAAGCAACAACGGCTACAACCGCTACAAGCGCGAAATCCACTGTCTGGCCAAGGGATTCCGTCTGCGTGGACACCTTCCTCTCCAGAATGGAAACAAACTTGGCCACAAAAGGCGCCATCTTGGATCCAATAGCCTTCACTTCAGGATCCTCCTTGCTCAAGCCAGCATATTGAGCCACGATGGGTGATGTTCCCAGGCGATTCATGATTTCATCGCGGCGCTCGTCATCTGACATCTTCATCAGCTTTTGCTGGTCCTTGCTCTCAAGCTTTTCATTGTAGTCCTTGCCCAGATCTGGGAGGACCTGAGGGAGTAATCAAGGCCATGCATCCCTTTCTGGTGTGATTTGAACATGTACTTCATAGAGGCGGTGTATGGGCGGCTATGTGGACGTTTGAAAGATGCCCTACAGTATAGTATCTGAAGCAGGAACTTTCCAAATTTCTTTGGAACCCCCATATGCATCCCTATGGAAGCTCCCATGTCGAGGATCACAACCTTTCTGCAAAAGGCCACCTCAGCCATGACATCATCCACAAGTTTGGATCGCTCCAGTCCTGAGCTTCCCGCAAGCCAAGGGAAACCTCTTCGAATTCTTCAGTTTGGGAACTCATCATCATTCTGGACCCTTTTTAGGGAACCCCAAAGAAGCTGCTGCTAGTGACCTAGCGCTTACATTGAGGGATCCTCAGACATACCGAAAAGAGAGGGGGGATTTCAAGCTTGGGGCCTTACCAGACAATACCAGTACTAGGTTCTCCGGCCTCTGGTTAGCTGGGACTGAAGGAATGGAAAAGAAAATGGAAACTACTATAATGGGTTGTATAGTGAGCCCAGTCTCTACCCCAGAACTTTGAGAAGCAATCGAAGGCATACATTCGATTTTCCTCCAGCTGAGCTGGCCAAATCTTTGGCCAATCCCGCTTCACAGTCGCGACCACGCCGCGGTTACCACCTGACTGCTCCTCCATAGCAAGCTGGAAGATGTTGATGTCCATCCTGGGAATTAGAAAGCCCCCATCATTTCTGCAGAGGTGGGGATTGCAAAAATGAGTGTGTGCACCTGGGCATCTTGAGCCGAGTTGCCAATATTGCTCTGCCTTGGCTAAGAACTCGTCGAGGGCGCCCTCGTCGTTGGCATTCTTGAGCAAGGTCAGCAACTCTCGGTACTCGTTGGACTGCAGGAAATTGCGCAGCCTCGGGTTCACCACGCCGCGGTACTTTCCTGCAAAGAAGGGCGAAGACAGACGCTGAGCACAAGAGACTTAAACTCACCTCAAGCAGGTGAACTGCGTCTGCTTTGCTCCACTCTAGGAAACTTTAGCACGGCGCAGCCCTCTGACTGAACCTCTTCAATGATGCATTCGCTAGAGAAACCCTGCAATATGTCCGTTGCATGTTGCCGTCCTCCTCCTTTCTTCGCTGCAGCCTTTTTTCGTGTCGCGGCCATCGCAGTACGGGTTGGCGAGGCAGGTGCTGGGCCCAGGAAGCTCACCTGACATCGTCACTGCTTTGAAATTGACATCACAAAACCTGTGGTTAACTGTAGTATGTAGCTTCCATATGTAGCTTCCATTTTCTTGTCCACTCCCTCTAAGCATGATGGGGGAGACGTAAGCATGACGGACACATCACTTCTGACCCACAGGCCTGACATACCCAGACATAGAGCAGCAGCGAGATGCAGAGCCAGCTTCGAATCCGCGCCATTGCCCAATGATGTGACGGGAGGCACAACAGATGTTTATTTGCACTGTGATCCCTGAATTGCGACGGGTCTTCCGTGCTGCTCCTATGTTCTGTCTGCACATCAGTCTTGGAGCTGGAAGCACGAATGACTGCAGATCGCGGCCATTATATTCGCCACCGGAACCACACATCAAACACAACAGACCACGTCTGACTGCAGTAGTCACCATGACAGCAGTTCAGGGACTGCAGGTCAGCAGCACGAGAAATCGAGAGGGATTTGGTCGATGTTTCCTGCTACGCCTGTCCCTTGCTGCTGCATGCAAGCTAGACCTCGGCTATGCTTGCCCAACATCAGCCTCGAAGAAGTTTTCCAGCATAAACGGGGAATTGTCTCTCGAAAATTCCGGCCCTCGAACCTCGGAGCCAACGGAAAACAGCGAGGTACGAGGGTTTTGAAGAGTAGGCGGGCTGAGGGTCGAGGGAACCCCAGTCATGAGCAAGATAAGATGGACAGAAGCGGACGCTTTCATATGTGAAGTTCTGCCACGACGGCTTGGAGAAGTCCGAGATGTTCGGGCCCCGGCGATCTGGTATTGAACCTGCGCAGACTCTCAAACACCTTCCATCTCGAAAAGGTATGCGCCAGGGATTTGCCCATTTTGGGGGGATGCTCCAACATCATGATCCTGTTTAGAGGGCTCTACCACAGAGGGGGCGGGTAACTACCTAGGGAGCCCATCTTTGGGCCCATGCATGGCCTATGCCCTAAGCAGTGCCTCAGCTTCGGTGAAGGCGCCGGCAAGCTTGGCGAGGTAGAGCCTGGAAGGCTCCCATCTCATTGAACTGGGGTTTAGGTTGGGTCCTGCCCCCACCCATTAACAGCCTATAATAGGGGTCATGTTAAGGGCTATATATAAGCATATCATAAATATTATCCAACTGTTAATGAGTGGGGGCAGTACCCAAGGTTTAGGGTTTATTGCTTTGAAAAACACTCGTGCGCGCTCATTCTGCCAGGGGGGGTTAGATCTCATTGAACTAGGGTTCAGGGCAGTCCTGAAAAGAAAATGGAAAAACAGCAGAAATTACTGTGAAGGGTTTGACTAGGGTCTATACAAGTGGTACGGTTTATAGGGATAATGGTAATCCTGGATTCTAGAGGCTCTACGATGGGGACCCATTTCTCCACTCCCTACTAACCACCCGCACGGAAGACGGCAACTGCCTTCCACTTCACCCTCAGCCTCCTTTACAACGAGTTGGCCGTGCTTCCACTTGAAACAAATAGCTGATGTCAAGTCTTAGTCGATTGTTGGTCACAAGTTTCCCTTATCAGTTTAAACAACCAACCCCTAAACCCTAAACCCTAAACCCCAACCTTATCAGTTTGTAACTTTACGATCACTGTACTTCTCTGGGATCCACTGCGGTCCCGGATTTTGAGAAAGCCCTCCTTGAGTGAGCCCCCGACGCTTCTTCTAGCGTGGCCACAGGCTTGCCTTGCTGCAGGAAAAGAAAATGGCAGCTACTATAGTATAATAGGGTTGTATAGTATTTGGGGATACTATGGTACCCAATAATGGAGAATCAAATGGGAAAGAAAATGGAAAATGAAATGGAAACTGGGGCTATATAGGGGTTATGTGGGGATAATGGAAAAGAAAATGGAAACTACTATAGCGGGCTAGATAGGGATACTTAGGTGTATATAGGGGTTATGTAGGGATAATGGAAAAGAAAATGGGAACTACTATAATGGGCTATATAAGTATATTTAGTTAAGAATTGGGGTTATATAGGGATAATGGAAAAGAAAATGGAAGCTACTATAATATATTGGGGCTACATATAGGGATACTGGAAGAGAAAATGGAAACTACTATAGTACATTGGGGTGATGTAGGGATAATGGAAAAGAAAACGGAAGCTACTATTGCTATACTATATGGGAGGGCTATATAAGGAGAATGGAAAAGAAAATGGAAACTTCTATTTAGGGTGTAGGGCTTTACTTTTCTACATGAAGCGACCCTCCCCCCACGAATAGTGACCACAGGGGGTTCCGATAATGCCTTAGGTTCCCTCCGTACAGGGTCCCACCATATTCCTGGTCTACGGCTGTTTGTGGGTGGGGGGAAAACTGAGTTCCACAGCACAGTCGAAAAATGTGGCGTTTTCCAATGGTTTATTGACTTACACTAGGATACCCTACCTGCTTGAAAAGGCATAAACAATCGAACAAACCAAATAAAAATACTTGCCCAGCAGGTCCGTGCAGAAATCATCCAAGCTCAACCTGCCACCATTCAAACTTATTGGTAACACCAGTGCCCTCAAAATTTGCCTGACACGGTCAAGATCAATCCGTGGGAATCGGTCAGTGGAGGATCCTGCTGTTTCGGATTGACTCCCTGACCCAATGACGGCAACACACCCAAAGTTACAGTGCCTGAAACAAGAGTCCTGACTCTGACTATACCCCCAAAACAAGGTGGCATCAACTGTAGGACCCCAAAATAGTCCAATATAACCCCAAACCCTAAACCCTATATAACCCCATTATAGTAGTTTCCATTTTATTTTCATTATCCCAATAAACCCCAATAAACAACCAATAAACCCGAATATAACCCTAGCATCCCAGCACGGGCTGGGCTTGCACAGCTGAGCCAGGCACGTCGCACCTGGCAGTGGGGAAAAAGAAAATGGAAACTACTGTAGTAGATAGGGGTTATGTAGGGATAATGGAAAAGAAAATGGAAATTACTATAGTGGGCTATATAGGTATATTTAGTTAAGAAGTGGGGTTATATAGGGATAATGGAAAAGAAAAGTATGTAGGGGTTACATAGGGATATGGAAAAATCCTACAAAGGGTTTCGGGTTTAGGGGTTTAGGGTATAGGGCTATATGAGGATAATGGAAAATGAATTACAACGACTATAATGGGGTTTTATATAGGGTTTAGGGTTTAGGGTTGGGGTTCTATAGGGATAATGGAAAAGAAAATGGAGGCTACTATAGTATATTGGGGCTATATATAGGGATATTGGAAGAGATGTTTCAGGAGGGTTGTGGGCAAACATCCTGCACCGGCTGCCTAGTAAAGACCAAAACTTGCAAACTTGAGCTCTGAGAATATCAGGGTTACATTAGGGTTATGTTGGGGTT